AAACTCACATTAAATCACTGGATTAAACATGAACTTCAAACAAAGATGAACACGAACTAAATCAACAAACATGACGGATTCATATGATTCGAACAACATTAATAATTTCTGGAAAATACATAACACATGAAACAAATTGAAGAAATAATTAATTAAATTTCAATTTGAATCTAACAAACATTAAACTAACAAATATTTACCTAAAAAATAATACAAACATGAAATAAACATGAAAAACAACTAATTAAACTTCCATTTTGAAATCTGAAAATTAATTTAACAAAACATATGAACATGAACAAAACAAAAATTCAAATATCTAACAATAGACATGAACAAAACAAACATTCGCCGATTTTAGATTCGAAAAATATCCAAATGAAATACGGACAAAAATAAAACTCAAAAACTACTAACCGGATTGAAACGAAATACGTACTAACCAACGACGAACTCGACTAGGTGGGGACTGTTTTGACGACCATCGACCAAAGCTCGACCAAACGACGACGAACACGAAATAGAAGTTATATCGGCAGTTGACAACTGAAGCCACGCCGAAGCTATATCGGCAGTTGACGCGGCAGAAGTGAAGCAGCAAAGGCAGCTGGTCGACGACGTCCATGGCGGAACGGGCTGAACGACGAGGACAGTGACAGCAATAGCAGGTTTGGTTTAGACTCAAGGAGATGGTTGGACGTCGTTGAGGCAGCAGATGCAGTCGAAGCAACTGGAATGAGAAAGAACTAGCAGGCTAAAGAAGCAGGCGATGCAGCATTGGCAGCCATGGATGTCGACGGAATGCTTCGTGTCGCTGAAAAGTGGTTGACGAGGACGACGAAGATGCAGCAGTAGCAACCATGATAATGGTCGTTTGGCCGTGCGAAGGGGCTGTGTCGTTTGGTGGTGTTTGGACGGGAAGCTGGGCAGCTAGGTCGTGAGGGTGATGAGGGTGGTCTGGGTGAACGAAGAAGAAGCCATGCGCAGCCATGGGAGGTGCGGTTTGAGGGCATCCATGGCTGTGTAAAATGGAGATGGAGAAGAAGCCAAAGGTGGGGGAGGCAAGTGTTTTCTTAGCTTTTAGGGTTTTTTGGTTTGTGTTTTGTTTTGTGTTGGACAAAAATGAAGAAGGGGTGTTGGGTTAATGGGTTAATGGGGCGGACCGGGTCAACCCGGTCTGAAGTGGACTGGGTCATGGGGAAGATTGGACAATTGTTTGGGCCTGGGTTAAAATTTGAAGAATTGGCCCAATCCGATTTTTCGGAGTATTTTTATTTTCTTTTCTTCTTTTATTTTCTAAAACTAAATTATAAAAATACTTAAATTATTATTAAGAACTAAATTAAGTTATAAAAGCGCAAATTAACTCCCAATAACAATTAACGCACAATTAAGTAATAATTAAGCACAAAATTGTTCATTTGGACATTAAATGCTAAAAATGCAAAAGATGCCTATTTTTGTAATTTTTAATTTTTGTAAAACTAATTTAATTACTAACAATTGTAGAATTAAATCCTACATGCAAAATGCGATATATTTTTGTATTTTTTTTTATTAATTTAACAAATAAGCAAACACAGACAAATACAAATAATTATCCAAAAATATCACAAAAATACTCAAAATTGCACACCAAGGAAAATCATTTTATTTTGCATTTTTTGGGAGTAATTCTCATATAGGGTAAAAATCACGTGCTTACAGAATACACTTGATGAAATAAGAAAGTTATCTCTTCTTCTCTTATTCTACTTATCTTGGTTTATATTGTTACTTTGAGCTACATTTCTTAATAGTATACAAATTTTTATAAATTTGTTGTGGATATCGAATACGGAAAATGGCCAAATACACCCTTGTACTATCAGAAAAGGTTTAAATGTACCCCCCGTTATACTTTGAGTCCAAATATATCCGTATCATTATACTATTGATTCAAATATACCACTTTTCCGTTAACTTTGTCCAAAGTAGATATTCAATCCTACGTGTCACTGGCATTTGATGAGGCGGATGCCACATGACTTGCCACCTGAGCGCCCTTAACCCATTTTATCCCTTTTTTTTTCCACCACTAAAATTTCCTTTCCCAAATCATTATTGCCACCATAACCGCAAAAATACTATATTTCAAATTTTAATCTTTTATATATGGATTAGGGGCGCTGAGGTGGCATGCCATGTGACATCCACCTCATCAAATATCAGTGTCATGTAGGATTGGATGTCCACCTTGGATATACTTAACAGAAGAGGGTATATTTGAACTAATAGTATTACGGTAGAGGTAAATTTGGACAAAAGTATAACGAATGATATATTTAAACCGTTTTTCATAGTACAAGAATATATTTGACCATTTATCGTATCGAATATAAATAGTTTCGGCCGCGGGCTAAAAGACATATTTGCCCATTCTTCTTCTTCTTCTTTTTCAGTTTTCATCCGTCCATTATTCGCATTGGGTTGTCTAAATTCAGAATGGTCGGCAGAAGATTTACATTGAAGGTTAAAAACTTTCGTATAAAGGCGATTTCATATGGAGGATTCGAACTATGGTTAAAAATAATAGAGTAGCTTTTACTTTACCACAAACCTAATCACAAGTCACAACTGACAATTTCTTATCAATAAATAGATTTCTCTATTATATACGAGCCGTTCCTAACATTAATTATTGAGCCTGCTCTTGTTGACTTAAATCAATATTTATTCCATTGTTTAATTTTATTATCATTACTTCGTGCTATGTATATCAATATTAAAGTAAGCTAATGACGGCAAATTGTGTAGTTTATTTGTTTGAGTGCATTAAATCTTTATTATTGTTTACAATTGGTTTGCTTCTCTAAGCAATGTAAAATAAAAATGAAATTAAAGAAAATGAATTATGTGGTCAGTGTTTAAGGTTTTAATGGCATAAAAATATGATAATCATACAGTTTGTGATACAAATGACTTGAACAATACGGCAAAATCATTCTATTAAATCGAATAAGTACATTCGATCTAATAAGTACCTTGTGTTGAGGTCTTTCCTGCAGAGGTATTCAAATTGGATCAGTGATCGATTTTTAGGTTTCGTCGTAAACCTAATTGGTTATTTCCAATTACGTAAATCAATAGTTCAAACCGCACTCAAAGGTATGGCATTTCCCATTTTTATAGGAAAGGGTGGACAATTAGCTAGAGCAGCGGGTGCAGCAAAATTGATTGCAAAAGAGGGGAAATCGGCCACATTAAAATTACCTTCTGAGGAGGTCCGTTTGATATCCAAAAACTGCTCAACAAATGTCGGACAAGTGGGGAATGTTGGGGTGAACCAGAAAAGTTTGGGTAGAGCTGCCTCTGTGCATCTCTGTGATGGGTAAATCTACATAAAAAAAAAAAGGGACAACTTTCGTGTAGTTTGATTTTTTTCAATTAGCCGACAAAAGAAGTAGCAAAGGAATATCGCTATGTGGGAAAAAAAGAAAAATGTAGGATAGGAAGCTCTATTTGATCGAAGGGATGGCTAAAAGGCCAAATCCGGCTAAAAACAAAAAGAAGAGATCAAGGAGAGGAAGCTAGACGAGCACTTGTAAAAGAGCGACCGACAGATCTAAAACTGCTATAGTAAAGTAGAACGAAAGTATCTCCCAAAGGTTCTACCTTTTCTTGTACGTTCGGGAATAAATAGAAAGTTCAAAACAAATAAAAATACATAATAATTAAATGAAAAAGATATGTAATAATTTTAATGGATAAAAAATATTCAATTGGTTTGTTGAAAAGTAATGCTACCAAAATTGCAAAACGAATTGAAGGAACTAATTCACACACTTGAATAAATTTGGAGTTCAATGACCTTAATTGTATTTTTCCTATTCATCCTCGTAGAAGGGCAGCCCGGTGCACTAAGCTCCCGCTATGCACAAGGTCTGAGAAAGGGCCAAACCACAAGGATCTATTGTAGGCAACCTTACCCTGCATTTTTGCAAGAGGCTATTTCCACAGCTCGAACCAGTGACCCCCTGATCACATGACAATAACTTTACCAGTTACGCCAAGATTCCCTATTCATCCTCGTAATTACATAATTAAAAGACTAGAATTTTATAATATTACGATCAATTACGGAGATTAAAAAAAAGAATATAATACATTCGGTAACTTCACGAGAAATTTTAGTTGGTATATGATACAATATTACAAGTAAGTGAAGAAAAGGGTATTTGGATTGACTTATAAAAAGTAATTTTTAAGCTAAAAGCCAAAAACAATAAGTTGATAATACTCAATTTTTGGCTTTTGGCTTATTTTTATACTTTCCATGCCAAAAAGTAAGTGATTTTAAGCACTTTTTAGTATTGTCAAACACAACACAAACTAAAAAAAAAGTGCTTACAAGCCAATAAGCACTTAAAATAAGCCAATCCAAACACCCTCTTATCCAAATCCAAAACAGGCTTCAATAATTGTTAGAGTGGAGCGTAATATCGCAAATCACAAGGAATATTCATATTACAACCACAAACCCGAGGAAGTCTATAATTATCCTTAGATAATAAAAAGAATAAAAGGATGAATTTTGCACACTAAATAAGCCTCCGGAATTGGGATTGAATACAGGCTGCGTTATCCTTCTCATCTTTGTACTTGTATATCCAAAATCCTCTACATGTCTAAACTTGAAATGTTAAAACAAATAGGCCTTAAATGAATTTGATTCAGCGATTTGCTATGTTCTCCTATCACATGAAATCATAATCATCATAACCATCATAAGCGTTAATTACTGCATCGTCATCTGCCCGATCAACTTGTAGCTGCTTCTTTTTCGCACCTGTAAAAAATAAGACTGTTTAAATCTCTGCCACCCAGCGTTGTCAACGGCGAAAAGCGTTAAAAAGCACACAGGTCTATCAAGGTTTTAAGCATAAAGCGCAGTTAAAGTGTGAGCTTTAGTTAAAATGGGCGCAATAAAGAAAAAAATAAAAGTATATATGTAATGCAAGAAAAAAAGTAACAAGTTCATTCATCATGATTTCCTTAAAAAATAATAATATCTTTTAGCCAATTATATTTATTGTTTTGTACTACTCTATTCAAGATAGAACTTATTGGCAATGAGGCGTGGGCCTTAGTGCCTTGCCTACACTAAAGCACAGTCTAAGTTAGGCGAAGCGCATACCCTGAGCTTTTTTGAGCTTCAGGGCTTAAGCGCACCTCAAATGAGCCTTTAACAACACTGCGGCCACCACCGAATTAGTTCTACATTTCAAGCATATAAAAGTGGCTATAGCAATACCTGTTTTCTTCTTGCTCGTGTTCGCTTCTTTTTCTTCTTTAATCTTCTCGTTAGAAATTGCATTAACAGACTTGGAAACTTCGTTAGCGTCTTGCCCATTCAATGCAGTCATGGACAGTCTCATAACATCCTTGAGCAATCCAATGTAGTGGTAGCTTTTCTACAAGAAATAAAGCATAATTCCTGAGTGAAGTCCCAACAATCGACAACTGAGATAACTACAGATAAAACAAACTTAGCAAACCTCATACGGTCGCAGCTTATGAGAAATAAGCTCAGCATATTCCGAGAAATCACTCTCAGATTTAGGAATGAAACTATCAAGGGTTTTATCATCGCCGCCTTTCTTAGCAAACAGTTCTGCAGTGGACCTATAATCAGCTTCTTCCACAAGCCTGTAAAAGAGAAATGAGATGAGGTTTCGAGATGGCTAACAAGTATACATGTCACACTGCTCATATCATAGAGCAGATCTTGCTTATTTCTGCTAAACATACCAGTAAAAGATGGTGTGATGCTGCACATTAATCACATAGCAAGACAACATAATGGAAGACAATACTTTTTCATCACGTAAGGATGATAGATAGCTTTTCAATTAAAAAAAGTAGAAGGTATTGCTTGAAAAATGGCAGCTCAGAAGGCCAGCCACACATAACCACCCAATCGACATACTGCAATTGCATCTAGAATACCAGCAAAAGAAACATTATGCAACAGTAAGAATTTACAATGTATTCCACTTTAAACCTAATATGTTGCTGCAGAATGACAGTAACTTCTAGTGCTTAAACGCGAAAATCGCAAAAAAAAGCGACAAGGTCCAAGGGACTTCAAGAGGGAAGCAGAGTGAAGCACACGTTTCTTTGAAGTGAAGCGCACAATTTATGGATTATTCAGAAATATCGAACATATATGAATTTAGTACAGTGATAACAAAATTGCAGTTTAAATAACTAATTTCAGCATCCAATAAACGATAATGCCAATATTAATCCGACTCTCCAAAGTTGAGATTCAACGAATCGGTTGTTTCTCATTGTGATCACTTATAGTGTCATTATTTGAAAGCATACTTATATGAAGCACATTGATTAACCCATGAAGGGATAACCTCTTGCTTTGCAATCACTTTAAGCGAAGAAGCAACGCCTTTTAATAAAACTGGTAATATGCTATCGGCTAGATTATTGAGTTCTGTTTCTCACCTTAAATACGAGGCATGAACTACAAATTAATAAAGACAATATGTGCAAACTGCTTTTACCTTTGCTGACGTAATTTTTCTGCTACTGGATCTAGAGGTACCTCGTCTCTATCAACTGCTACTTTCTTGCCTTTTTCTTCACTAGATTTTGCAGTAGGCTTCTTGGAGGGCTTCTCAACAGGCGGTTCTGGTTTAGGCACCTGACTGATTCAAAATATGTAAGTTCTATTTTTTGGGGGGGTCAATTCATAATATGTAAGTCAATAACGCCAAGAAGTGGAATACATTCCATAAAAAGAGTAGCATCCAGGAGACATCACCACAATATGATAACCAAAGAATTGATGTGAAGCAGGAGCACATCGCAATCGCTACTAGTGTGTGCCCAAAACATAATACAATATTTTTAATGAACTTTCATCACAAAAATAATTTAAAATATTAACAAAAACAAAAGTGTTAACCGCATAGGACTTCAGTCCTACCATTACCCGGGGCATTTAGAGTTTGCCTTTCACCAGGCAACCCAGCTTCTTTTTTCCCTTTGAATTGGTAAATATTATTGATGTTAAGAACACCATCACTAAAGAAGTGTTGTGATTACATCCAAAAGTTGGTAAAAAGGAGGGGGGAAAACCTGGCTATCTATATAAAAGATTCTAGGATCTGTAACATAGTTTCACTATCATCTGTCCAGGCAACCCAACTCTAACTTTGAAAAATTAGAACAGCTAGATTTTGAAGGAAAGGAAACGAGAACTACAATATTCTCCACCACACTAGACAATAATATGGTACAGTAATCCTCTAGAACCTATGATGTTTTTAGACTATTGGATATAGTAAAAAATTTCTTTGACTCTGCAAAGACGTCTGAACAAAAAGATCTTTGCTTAAGAACCATTCTCGTATAGCTTCACTTAATTATTTGGAGGATTACTATATAAAATACATGCATATAAGCAATTTATCCAAAAAAATGGCATGCACTTAGCCTCAATGTATATAAAGTGATACAAAAGCAAAATAAATAACAAAAGAGACCACAAATCAGATTACACTTCCAGGTTTGCCTGCAAAACATGCCAAAAATATGCACTCAATAATCCCTTCAAAATAGAGTCTTTTGCATCTATCTGTGTAAGGTTATTAATAGACATATCCATGCAGTGACACGAGGAATAGAAGCAAGATGTGTAAATGTCAGGAATTACTCGAAAATCCAAAAAACACTTCCGAATTTTTTCGGAGACTTAGCGAACACCCTATTTCTAGGCAATTAATGCATAATTAGACACATATGCTTCAACAAATAATGAATACTGCAAGGATGTTCACGATATGGAAGCCAGAAATCGATAACTCATTAACCCTACCGGAGTAGTCTCATCTTCATCTTCCCAAGATTCCTTTATATCATTATCTTCAGCATCTTCATCATCCCATTTACTCCTTGGTTGATCCTTTTTGAGAAGATCTGGAATCTGTTCATCCTCTGAAATGGCGTATACTAGTTATTAATATCTACCGAACAACAATGTCTCTCACAACTATTAAAATTTGTCAAGAAAACTGAACATCACAGTTCTTCAATACAGAGATAATATGTATAGTAAATGCCTAATGTTCATCACCAACTTCCTTCAGTTTTTCAACCAAGCTGACACTGATTCTATACTTCTTTGGGTGTATAGCTGTTTGTACACAATTATGTACAATCATAAATGCTTTAGCAGTGAATCCAAGTGAAGTGGCTTTAGTTCTTAATCACCCACAAGCATGTGGTGAAAATTATTAATAGAATAATTATGGCATTAGCAGGTTATTGGATGGCCTTTATTCTCATAAAATTCTTAATGCAGCAGTAATGGCATTATCAAGTCATTAGATGGTCTTCATAGTCAGCTTATTTTCCCCCAAGCACAACAAAACCCTGTAAATATGAAACATACACGATGCACTAGTATCCACCCCCTCCTATAATATGTATCAATGCCCCCTCCTAGTAAACTTGGACCTTCATAATCACAACCACGTTATCCGATCAATCAATCAACTATGCCTCAATTCTAAACTAGTTTATATCTACTATATGAACCCCCTATATCCAATCTGCTCTATTCAGGCCCATGTCATTCCAATACTAAATAATTTGTCTTTTAAAAACAAAAATTAGGAGTTCTCTAAAACTTGAAGTCCTCTAAATAGTACATATAAGCCTAAACAACCATATAAATGTCTCACCAAACAAGAGAAAACTCCAAACAAGCACCTAACCCGATGTAAGTGTCAAAACAAGTAAGTGTTCTTTGTTGCCTCAAATTCTTCACCCCCATTACATCCTACATTTAAGGTTGCACCATAGTTTCCACTTCATTAAACAAAATTTCCTTCTGTCCAAAGATTCTCTATCATCAATGGAAAAGGAAACAGGGACACGATAAAAGTTGAAGTCTATCCAATACACTGCGAGTTAAACTATAGCCCAAAGAGAGGTACTGTTCCTTCCTAGTAGATAGTCTTTTTTCAACCTTTAAACTTGACAGTGATATTGCAGTATCTAATCCACCTAACCTATTTCTCTCAGAAACCAAGTCAACACAACAAAGGGAAAATGGCCATAAGCCTTCTCCATAGTCAATTCGCGAATTAACCCATCTTCACCTTGTTCACTCAAGCATCACGGCTCTCATTAGCTATATCGGAGTTGCATCAATGATTTCTCTCTAGTCTCTCCCTTACAGAAGCCTTCTATGCGTCAGATTACAGAAATATTTTCAACCTTTTAGCTAACAGTTTAGCAATAATCTTATACACACTGCCCACCAAACTAATGAGTCTAAAATCCTTTAACTCCATAGCTCCACCTTTTTCAGGAATTAAGGCTATAACATAACTTATTTGTTTTCATTTTTTCAAGCTGCAGATTAATGCAATCCAAAGGGTGGAAAGAAGAAGCAATGATTCCTCATATTGACAGATTAATAGATTTGGCAAGAGAGAAACTAAAAACAGAAGACAATGCTCAGTAATCATCTTCAAATACCATTACTGCCTGCACACTGCTAATTGAAGACACAAATGGCAAGGAGAAATCTTTTGTTATAAGGCCACATTGGCTCAACCACTAGTATAATAATATAATAGCAACAGAATATATTTTCAGCTATGTTGCTCAGACTCTTCATACATGCCGCCAGGTGCGTGTTGGATCCTCCAAAAGTAACGTACTTTTGAGGATCCGGCACGGTTGTGACAACATTTTTGGAGAGTCAGAGCAACACAGATTTTCAGACACCAGGGCTTTGGTCTAGTGGTAAAAGAGTGGCACGTGAAGTGTGGGTTAGGCACATGTCATGGTTCAACTCTACCACAGATACAAAGCCTGGTATTTAAGCGGGAAAGGGTAGAGGGGCGGTCCCATACTACAACTTATATAAAGTAATACCTTCAAACATCAGTAAAAATTACTTTCTTTCACGAGAAAAGTAATTAAGGGAGTATTAAATCGAGAAATATCTACTTACCCCAATCCTCCATGTTTATTTGATTATCTTTGATCACACCAACAATATCAGATTGAATATCTGCATAAGCAGATAGGAAGACTTCAGTCAGTTTCAAAGGAAGACCAAACCATAAACAAGCCAAAATTCAAAAAGCACAAATTAACGCCTAACAAAAATTCAAGCAAGGCCGAAACAAATGACTTCAAATTTCCTTTATGGCATCTAGAACAAGAAGATGGATAATCCCACACAATGTGCGCGCAAAATATTGAATATTGGAAATAAACTTGCCTAAATAGAGAGAAAAAGGATATAGTGAACTCATACTGGGAAATACTTACTCGTACTGAGTGTTTACACCAACCATGCATTTAACCATCATTATCAATTACTGGAACTGGACCAACGACAACAACAACAACAACAAACCTAGTATGATCCCAACTGGTGGGGTCTGGGGAGGGTAGTTTGAAGGCCTACCTTACCCTACCTAATGCAGGTAGAGAGGTTGTTTCCAATAGATCCTCGGCTCAGGAAGGGCAAAATGAATTATTGGAACTGGCCCAAATAGAGCGAAATCAACATAGAGAACTCTATTCCAGTAGAAACTTACTTGTACCGGGTTTACACCAAACCATACAATTTACCTTTGCAGTTCAAAATTGAAGTGAGGATACATATATCTAAATGAAAAACACATGTATTGCATTTATTGCCATGATATAAACACTTACTATGATGTAAACACCTAATGCGGATAAGTTTTCACTGCTAGTTTGGGATTTGGAATTAAGTTGCAGTTTTTGTTTGTAAAATCGTACTAACTTATTGCTATATGTATATATATAATGCCAAATTACTTAATTACACATAAAACATCAATAATTAAGGGAAAAACAAGCACCTGTTTGATATTGCGGCCAGAAAATAAGTGACCGAAGAGGAAGATATTGTTATGGATGAGTAGCTAAAGAGCTTTAGGAAGAAGAAAAGTTAGAACAACACAGAATCTGGTCCGGTTTAGGGTTACTGTTCAACCGTCAACCGGATATAACGGTTTTTCTGGACCGGTTTTTATTTGACGAACCGGGTCGATTTATGAATGTGATTGATAACTACTCAACTAATAAAACGATACTCCACTCTCTTCCCTCTAAATATATTATTTCTCTTTAAAAAATTTAACATTTTCTTAAAAATAGATCTTAATCATAAAAGTAATGTCTAAATCTTTTTCTGAAAAAAATGAATAAAATTTTTAAAATCTTTCATAAGCTATATGTCTTAAGTCTATAAGAAAAAGAAGCTTTTCTTTTTCCATCAAATGTTGTAGATGCTTGCTTTGAGCTATAATTACATGAATGCTTTTCGTTGCACTTGGTTTTTTTTCCTAGTTTAGACATCAAGTATTCACAAATTATTAGTCGATTAATTCAAATTCGCATTGAACAAGTTCACTAAAGGAGTACGGATGGAGGGATTGACGGTCTCTCTTAGTTATAATTAAGAAGTTCTTTTATTCTCAAGTTTTCTCATTCACCTTAATAAAGAGTATCTTTTGTCTCTCGATAAAAAAAATTAAGTTAATATATCATAAGGCGAAGTACTTAAGTGGCTTATTAAAAAAAACTCAAATAAAAGAGTACAAGTAAAGGGGCTAGGCCTTATCTTACTAATCATAACGAGGAACACCACTATATAGAAAGTATGCAAAAAATACAAACCAGAAAAATCAAATATTCAAGGATCATCACTAATCATCATACTATGTGATGATATTACATACTTCATTTGTCTCAATTCATGCGTAGTATCATTTGACTAGCCACGAATAAAATAAAGATTCTTAAAATTTGTTGTATAAAATAAGTTTTAGATAATATATGTGACTGTAAATCAATCTCATTAAGATAAAAGGTGATATCTTTTTAGGATAGACTAAAAAAGAAAATGTGACATATATAAATTGAGATAATAGAAAGTATAATGGCACTAATGTAATGAAGTGAGAAAAAAAGCGTAAATATTTATCGCTACTGGTGTTTACATCTAACTAAATAATTAACGTTAAAAAGCAACAAATCAAAGTAAAGATACATATCATTTAACCGTAGCTAAGAAGAGTGTAGATAAAAACGTATATTACATATTCATTGACTTGATATAAACATCCGACGTGAATAAGTATTTAATTACTAATAAAAGGTAAGCAAGAAAGTAGAGCAAAAGTAGGCCTCAAGGGGCTACAATGATGGAACGACGTATAATCCCAAAGACAAAAGGCAATGTTACTAAGAGGGTGTTTGGCTAAGCTTATAAGCTGGTCAAACTAGCTTATAAGTACTTTTTGGCTTATCTACGCATTTTTGGCTAAGCTTATAAGCTGGTCAAACTAGCTTATAAGTACTTTTTGGCTTATCTACGCATTTTTGGCTAAGCTTATAAGCTGGTCAAACTAGCTTATAAGTACTTTTTGGCTTATCTACGCGTTTGATAAAATTAAAAGTGCTTATAAGTTAAGTACTTATAAGCCAAAAATAAGCCAAAAGTCATAAGTTGGTCTCCCCCAACTTATCAAATTTCAGCTTATAAGCACTTTAGGTTTGACCAAAATATTTACTATTTTATCCCTAAAATACTTCTTTTTAAAACAAAACTCTTCGTACACCCAGTTCTTCAGCTGCTTATTATTAAATTCAGCACTTTTATCCAAACACGTAACTGTTTATTTTTTAAATCAGTTTCAGCACTTAAAAGTATTTTTCAGCATCTAATATTTATCAGCTACTCTAAATCAGCTAAGTCAAACGGGCTCTAAGGAATAAAGAACAAATTCAATGAAATAACTAGAGAGGATTAATTGCTTTCAGATGATCTTTACAAATGATATGAAACTGCATATTTTACCACGTCTTCGAGTATGTTTGAGATAAGAGGGGTTGCTCTGATGGTAAGCAACCCTCACTTCCAACCGACAGGTTGTGAGTTTGAGTTTCCCCAAGAGCAAGGTGGGAAGTTCTTGGAGGGAAGGATGTCGGGTTTCTATTTGGAAACAGTCTCTCTACCCTAGGGTAGGGGTAAGGTCTGCGTACACACTACCCTCCCCAGATCCCACTAAGTGGGATTATACTGGATTGTTGTTGTTGTTGTTGTTCGAGTATGTTTGACCTGCTTCGGGCGCTTGTTTCTTCGGCTACTTTTGCTTCAGAATAAAGGGATAGTCTCGGTTACAGCTTCCCCGCACTTAAGTTGTTCATCTCAATCCATCTTATGCACTTAAGTAAAACTCAATTTTATACCCAAAAATGAGTTGTAAAATTCTGCAGATTGGTCTGGTTGCAGAACTTTAAAGGAAAATACTTTTGAGGAACATGAAAGATCAGATCGCATGTCAATTATTAAATGCAAATAATGGTGGGGAAACTTTCTAGAATTATTGATTCCTCACATATTTTTGAAGGAAAGCATGTTCTTTCAACTTTTGCCTTTTTGTTTTAACATAAATTATTTGGTGTAAAGTCCAACATGGAAGAAAAGGTTCTGGGACAGGGGAAAAAAGGCCAAAACTAAAAATATTACGCCGTTGCCGGGGATCGAACCCGGGTCACCCGCGTGACAGGCGGGAATACTTACCACTATACTACAACGACCTTGCTGTTGTAAACTACCCAGCTAATAAATAAATACAAGGAAAAGGCCAACTTCAAAATATCTCTTAAAATAAAACCTGTCCAAATACAAAGCTTACAGAAATTATAAACTAAAGGTTTTCAAGATTTTTAATTCCTTATTATTGAAAATTTTCAAATTTTAAACTTTGTAATGGATTAGAATTTTTTTTTCACCAATGATAATTTAAAGTCATAGTTAGTTTAGAGGATCTGTCATTGTACACGTTCTTGTTTTCCTATTTTTTCTCAAACTTGTAATCGAGTTCCATTTTCCAAATAGAGCCAAATGTAAATCAAAGGTATATAATAAAATCAAGATCGTCAAAATTCAGCGCTTACATGCTCAACCATGGCACATTCTCAATTAACTACTCCTTGTGGTTTAGGGATGACAGTGAGGCGTAGCATGACAGGGCGAGTGCCGGGCGAGTTTGACTTTACCCATAAAAATTTCAACCAGCCTTTGTCCCGCAACACCTTCATAAGAGCTTTCCCGCCTCGCCCCGCATAGGATTTAACCCGCACCCGTCCTCCCTATTGTCCCATGAATTAGAAAATAGTTATAAACAAGCGATTTGTAGAGAACACCATCAATAAAGCAAGAAATTGTATTTTGAGAAATGGGGTAGTTGGTCCAACTCCACCTGATATAACATCATATTTTAGTTGAACCAAATGACACCCGAATTTTAACTTATTGTATATTACTTCTAAATTAATGAGATAGCTATGTAGGGTACTAGGATGGTTTGTGCTTGCTTCGATTTGAACTACTACTATCTTTTTTGAATTTATATGACTTTGTTTTTTGAAACATTTCAATGCAATTGACGTCATTTTATGCATAATTTTTTTTTTTCTACACAACTTGGAGGAACTCAAATTAATTACATATATACTTAGATTTTAGATTTTAATATGATGTTTTCTCTACTAAACTAAATTTTTAACCATTAAACCAATAAATTCTATCTTAATTCCAGATAGTTTGGAGTGTGCTATATGAACCCTTCGAATCTATTCCATATATTTAAATTGATATCATTCGAAAATGACGATATTGTAATAGCTATGACTCAGTTATAAAGTATTTGAGGTTGCTCGTGTATGAATTTTTATACTCCATATCGCTCTATTTGGATTTATTTCATTTCAATATTCAGTAATTGCGAACCGTAGAGATTATCACTCCTAACATACTAGGCATAATGTAACCATAGTACATAGTAATTGTATTGGTCAAAATCTGACCGTCACGACCGAACTGATCAACGTCCCCCCTAAGAGACCGGTCAGTGAAAAATAACATAGTCCACTCTGCACCCTTTTCCCGACATCTGTCGAGTCGGAAGGAGCAGCGCCTAAAAGGACGACTAAGACACATTAGAGGCAGGTGAGCATCGAACCAAGCAAAGAGCAAGGGTGTCTTGACTATATATAGTAAGGGAAAACCTTCGATTAGGGGGGTTGCTCCCTCCTTTCTCTCTCCGAAGCTCTCTTCTTGTATTCTTGATAGGAAATAAGTAATCTATAGAAGAAAATGTAAAGCTATCTCCCCATTCGATCGACGGGAAACACAATATAGAATTTCAATAAGACCATTTACATCTCTTTTATCTTATATATGAATCATGCTATTAGCTCTTTGATCCGGGGTTAATTATGTCTGACTAAGATTTACCCATTCATCTTCTTTGATTGATTTGTTCAAAAAGGTTTCGATATCTTTTGAGCCAAACAATTTGGTGCCGTCTGTGGGGATTTCTTAGTGAAATTTCCTAGTCTCTCCCAGATCAAAGGCAAGAAATACGATCACCCACCAAAGGAGCGCGAAGGAAAAACTCAATCCACACGAGACAAAGGCGCAGTGTGGTAGGGGGAGGAGAGCCGAGCAAAATTACCAAACTTATAAATCTTCACCCCATCAACCATTGATATGCCAAACAAGACGAACAATGTTACCAACCTGTTCTCCTCCATCGGACCACCGAGCGGGGGCAAGGAAAGTATCACTCTAACTCACATTTTGCTCTCTGCTCAAGTAGGGACACAAAGGTCGCGCATGCGAACGAATAAAGAAATACCTCAGTGAAAAGGACGAAAAACTACTGCAAAACAACTGTGATACCACCCACCGGTGAAACCCCCAAACCGAAAGGCGAGAGACAGACGAGGAAACTACAATATGTGCGCAGAACGAACCTAAGAGAAACAACAACGTTTCACATTCTCTGACGTTGCACCCTCCATTGCGAGCAATATCAAATGAACTGGGACTCTCCCAGAAGATATCTGGCTCTCTAAAAACTGGGACTGACGACAGGTTGCTATTTCGATAAGTTCGAAATAACACCCTTT